AAGAGTGCGGTGTCAATGATTCGTACGCATCTACGATGATTAGCGTAGCGGATTTGTCGCGACGTTGCTCCAGCGTGATGATCAGCATCAATGCCCTAGCTGCCTTTTTCCTTTCGATCGGCGAACATATGCTTCAGTCGTTGAACGATGCTAATCGTGTTGATAATAATTCTCGAGTACTCCCCATAAAGATGGAGTTTCCATTCGACGTTAGCGAATCGCCCATCTTCGAGTGTTTTCTGATCGGACAATTTCTCTACGAATTGTTGCTGGCTTCTATAGTTGGTATGGTGAATGCATTACTAGTATCACTGGTAAGTTTCATGAATCTGCAAAAAAAATATTGTAATATTTAATCATCCTTTATAGTTTATTGCTTATCAATATAACTGTATTCTGTCATCTGTTCGATGCGTTTGCATCTAATTAAAGGAAAGATCTTGGGCTTTGAATAATATTAGTTTTTTCTATAGATACTTCACGTAAGTGGTCAAATTGATATTATGCGGCAAGTCATAAGTGAAATTTCCACCAGCAAATACGATCCCAATACATCCTTAATCGTTATTAAAAATCTTATTTGCAAACATCAGAAGATTATTACTTTATCAGAAAATATCGAAAATTTATTTTCTTATATTGCTTTAATGCAACTCCTGTGGAATACTTTGGTTATCTGCTGCACTGGTTTTGTAATTATAATTGTAAGTAACAATTGGTAAGAAATTTCATTTTTGATGGGAAATAATTTTTCTTCGTTTTATGTTGCAGAGCATAGGCACCGACGAAGGTGCGACGACGTCAATTAAGTCTGTGAGCTTTTATATTGCAATAACTCTAGAAGTTTTTATACTCTGCTTTGCTGGAGAATTTTTAAGTGCCAAGGTTTGTGAATGATATAAAGGCAATCATCGCGCGTGATTATTTGTCTTTTTTTCTGTCATATTTTAAATTCAAAAATCAATTTTTGCCATAAAAAATATAGAAAGTTAAAAGGCGCATTCTTTGAACAACAAGAAACATTTCTGAATTTGTTATTTGCGTGTTTCAAATTAGGAATTTTGTTCTAATCCTAGAGTAAGTCGATTAGCGATGCGGTGTACAACTCACTTTGGTACAATATGCCACCGTCCGACAGCCGTATTTTATTATTCGTGATATTAAGATCGCAAAAGCGATTAACGATCACTGCAGGAAAAGTAGTCGATTTAACTTTGGAAGGATTCACAAGCGTAAGACGTCATACTTTTACAAACATTTCATTTTTCTAATATTTGTTGAGTCAATTATATATTTTAATTTATGCGCAATTTTTTAGATTATGAAGGCATCAGCTTCTTATGTATCAGTATTAAATGCAATGTATTGACTTTAGGACGATCAATTGCTGACTATTATATTTACTATTGGCTCAGTTACAACAATTTTATCAGGCAATCATTATCGTTGAACTAATGAAATTATGCCAAAAAAGTTATAAGATCTAAAATTTATTTTAGTATAAAATATTTCTTACAGATTCAGTGTATAATTTTTCTTTGTTTGTGATAATTAATCTTTTATACTCTCTCTCTTCGAAAGTTTGTATAAAATTTTCTTTATCTCAATTTTTTATGCTTTCTTTTCCAATAAATTATTAACAAAAATGTTGCAGATTTAAAGGAATTGTACGGAAGAGAACACACATCTTATAATAGTTTCAAAGGTTTGTGTTCACCTTTATTGAATATACTATGCTTATAAAGCTATTGTTCAAAGTTCTATCTATTGCTCCGTTGAATTCTAAAACAATAATTTCCCCTTTTTCAATTAATAGAAATACTTGATTATTATTCTAACAATGTATTGAGTGTTATTTTTCTAATTTTTTAAATGTTTATATTTACCATTATCTATTATTATTGCAGTTTGTCGGTACGATATATATTTTATACCATCATAACTTTGAAGTCTTTGCTTGAAATGAAAATGAGAGAACATGAACGAAAGACGTAAAGAATTGACGAAATCGATTATGTAGCAAACATATTTAATGTCTTGCTATAACAAACGTTCTTCACTTTTTGCTATCTTGTATTTACGTCTCGCAGATATCAACATTTTTACTTGACGTTGTGCATAATTTTTTCTGGTGGATATAGATACGTAAGTGGACATGAAGTTGTTTTTCAAGACAGAATATACAATAAAAAACGTATTAAAACAATTAAACTTTGTTGGACAATATGATTATATTCACTGAATCGGAGCTAAAGCGAATGCAATTATATTCTTTTTCTTATTTATCTTTTAATCGGTAGAATTATAAAACTGTAGACAGAGATCTAATGCGATGAAGAATATATAAGGTAATTACGATTGATTACGTTCAGAGTAGCTTGCGTTTTATCGTTTTTGCTAAGATTATTTAATGCTTTAGCTAACATGCAGAACATATTGAAAAATATGCACATGTGCTTTATTCGCATTGAATTCGAATTTTTTTGTGGATTTGTCACGAATTGTTGATAGTTTAGTGTTTAACAAAGAACGATGAAACGTGTCAACACCATCAGTCGCTCGGTGGAGATCGGTCTCCGTTTCATCGGTTTGTGGCCGAATTCGACTTACGCAACTTTTTATTGGTTTAGTTACATGACGTCCATAGTAATAGTGCAATATTATCAATATGCGTATGTGCTTGAACATCTTGATTTAAACGATATCTGGCTTCTTATGGACTGTCTTAGTCTGACTTTGGCATATACTCTCGCCTTTTTCAAACTTCTAGTTTTATGGTGGAATCGCCGGTAAGACGTGTTCTTTTGTAAAGCAAATGATGTAGACTGTAACCGGTGCTGTTGAAATTAAAGTTACTATTAATGTTGACGCACACACACAAGACATGAATAAAAATACAAAAATATTCATTATTACCTTTTAAAGTTACACATGCAAATTTTCTTCATCGCTCGTAACACAGGCGAAATATACATATATTAATACATGCAGAGTACTCGATATACATTGCTATCTGCAGGATATTTTATCGTATTGTGAAAGATATGGAGCAAGATTGGAGAGATTGCATTATCAATGGTTCGTATGTATCTACGATGACGACTATGGCGGATCTGTCGCGTCGTTTTTCTAACATAGTATTCATTATCAATGGTATCGGCGCATTTTTTCTTTCGATTGGCGAGCATTTGCTCCAATCGATGAACGATGCCAATCGAATTGACAATAGTTCTCGAGAACTCCCTTTAAAAATGGAATTTCCCTTCGAAGTCAGCGAATCACCAATTTTTGAGTGTTTTCTAATTGGACAATTTGTCTATGATTTGAGCATGGCTTCTGTGGTTGGTTTGATGAATGCATTGCTTGTCACATTGGTACGTTTACAATAATTGTTCTTACGGAGATTAAAAATTGCAACTATAATATGTCCGCTTGATATAAAATGAATAGTAAGACATTTACTTACAATATTGCTTCAAATAAATTATTTCGAATTTCTAGATACTTCATGTAAGCGGTCAAATTGATATTATGCGACAAGATTTAGCCAAAATTTCCAAAGACAAATACGATCGTAGCACATTTTTAATTATTATCAGAGATCTCATTTGTAAACATCAAAGGATCATTGCTTTATCGGAAAATATTGAAAATCTTTATACTCAAATTGCGCTAATGCAACTTCTATGGAATACATTGGTTATTTGTTGCACTGGTTTCTCGATTATAATTGTGAGTAATGTTGTTGGTTGTTCTTTTTCACATTTTGAAAAAAGATTATTTCTTACTTGTTTTATTGTAGACCCTTAATACCAACAAAGATATATCATCTTTGATCAAATCTGTTAGTTATTATTTTGCAATAACTCTAGAAGCTTTCATATTTTGCTTTGCTGGAGAATTTTTAAGTGCCAAGGTATGCAAAAGAGCTCTTACTAAGAGAACTTGCTGAATATTCATTCTTTTCAATTTACGTTACTTATTTTATTATTATGAGCTATATTTTATGTATAAGATTAAGATTATTGGACCAAAAATGCCTCTTTTTTGAATAATAAATGAAGTAATTTTTAAATGTTTCATTATTATTGTACTGCTTTCAGAGTATGTCACTTAGCGATGCAGTATACGAGTCATTTTGGTACAATATACCTCCAAATGACAGTCGTATTTTATTGTTCATGATGTTAAGATGTCAAAAGCGATTAACGATTACTGCAGGAAAATTCATTGATTTGACGTTGGATGGATTTGCAAGTGTAAGATATTACGTTCTATAGATATATTTCTTAATTCTTTTAATATATTGCATTAATTACACGCAACTTTTTAGATTATGAAAGCATCAGCTTCTTACATATCAGTATTAAATGCAATGTACTAAGTTTAGAGCAATGTTGATTGCTGTATGTGCATATTCTTTATTGACTTGACTGCAATAGTTTAGCAAGTCATTATTGTTAGTCAAATGTGATTAAACAAGTTACGAAATATAAAATATTTTTATTGTAGATTATCTCTCTTATACATTTTTAAAAATAGATAATTATTCTTTGTCTGTGATAACAATTATTTTCTTTATAAAATATAAATTTTTTTTTTGTCTCAGCTTTCTGTGTTTCCATTTTCAATGTACCGTTAATAAAAATATTGCAAATCTTTTAAGAAGATGTATGAACGTATATAATTTATTGTAATTTGAAAGGTACGTCTGCACTCATTAAATACATTTTTATGAGTGTTTTTTCAAAGCTTTAGATATTGCATCTCAATTTTTTATTGACAATTTCCTTTTTTCTTATATTAATATTTAATTAATATTTTAATAATTATATATATTGCATGCTGGTTTAACTATTCGCGTTGCAATTTAAAACAATTTCTTATTTCTATTGTTTATTGTTGCTTGAGTTTTTGTAGCATAAATCAGAATTGATATGCAAATCTCTTTTAAAAAGATAGTCTCATTTTATAAAGAGAGATGTTAAGATTTTTATATCGATTTTCGTCGATTCAACGTATATTTAAAAATCGACAACAAAAGTAAAACACAGTTTGTATGATTCAAAATGACTTACATTTTTATACAGCTTTACGCAGTTCAACGACACGGAAGAATGTGTTTGCCCGCTTTTGTGTAATATACCGAAAGCTTTTGTATTTTATCGAAATGGGAGGTGGGAGTACATGAGCGAGAGGATGAGACTGAAAGGTAAAGGAAACTGGCGGGATCGATTGTATGTATTACAAACGTATTCAATGTCCAGCTATAATAAACGTTTTTTGCTTTTTTTCGCCTTGCATTCGCGACTAAATGTCATGTTTTTATTAAGACTTTGTGCATAATTTTTTAAAAGAAACTTATTAAATGGATATGAAACCGCCTTTTAAGAGACAATAATGTACAATTCTAAAGCAATTACATGTTATTTTATAAAAGTAAAATGTTCACTCAAAGGCGAACATAATTGCATTTTCTTTTTTAACTAATAGAGCTATAAGCGTGCTATTGGATAAGATAATTACGATTAATTATGTTTAGAATATTTCGATAACAATGCTGTACGTCAGTTGCATAATTTATCGTATGGCAGTTTCAATTTTCAGATCCATCAAGAATATAAGATCTTTCTTTTTTTAACGCCATTTTTTAAATTGTAAGTTTATTAATAATGATGGAAGACGGTTATTCGTATAAAGATACACGTATATCTTTTTAGCGTGCAAAAACCATAATCATTGATCTATTATCGCAATTTAGCTCGTCGTTCTACGGTTTATATTGCATGATTACGTAATTGCGATTGATCGTTGCCAACACACCGTGGTAGTTTTAACTCGTAAAATTGTTTTTCTGCGACGCCGAGGAGGGGAGCGTATTACAAAGTAAAACTATAAGATTCAATCGTGTATTTGAAAAATCGAGGCATCAATCTGTCGCCGTTCACTTTGTCGGGAGGAAACAAAGTGTAGAGTCGATCAAAGTTATGGTTCAATGCAACGTTACGCGTAGCTATGTCGATGAGTACTGTAAGCCCGTTGCTGAAAATCGGTCTCGGTGCGATCGGCATGTGGCCCGGTTCCTCGTACGGGACGTTTTGCTGGCTCTTTTACATGACGACCCTCGTAACGATGCAGTATTTTCAATACTCGTACGTCTACGCGCATCTGGACTTCGGCGATCTGACCAAACTGATGGACGGTCTGGGCCTCACTCTGGATTACACTCTGACGATCCTGAAGCTGATCAGTCTCTGGTTTAATCGCCGGTAAGACTATTTCGACAATTAATCCGCACGATTGAACTCTCAAGAGAGTTCAATCATCTCGTGAGATCTTCGAGAAATCAAATTGTAGATTATTCGCGGATATTCTGGTCGCGATGGACAACGATTGGAAAGACCGCGCGACCGATTTGCGCGAGTGCGTGATGATGGACAAGGCTAATCTGGCGCATCGTTGCTCCAACGCCATAATATCCGTCAACGCCGTCGCCACCGTTCTCTATTTCATCGATAGCCACGTACGTCGCCGTACAGTTTCCAAGGATGGACAACATCGGGATTTTCCGATACAGATACAGTTCCCGTTCGAAGCCCACGAGACGCCGGTTTTCGAGTTTGTCGTCCTGGGATTGTTCTTTCATGTATTAGAAACGGCGACCGTGATCGCGACATTGAACTCCTTGATCTTAACGCTGGTAAGTTGAGGATAGAAACGATTACATTTCTTAGTTAAGTGTAACATACATATCAGATAAGATGTTAGTCTCGCGATAATATTTAAAATTTTCTCTGACGAATTAATTAAAGTTCTCGTCAAATCTTGCTTGAACGCGTTGCTTATTTTTTTTTTTTTACTTTTGAGGTACTTCATGTAAGCGGACAAATTGATATCATGTGTCAAGAATTGAAAGAGATTCCTCCCACATTCAATTCTAAGATGTTCTCCACCAAGTCGCTCGTCGAGAGACATCAGAAGATTATATCATTGTCGAATAATATCGAGAACTATTTTTCGTTCATTGCTCTGTTACAATTCATATGGAACAGCTTTGTTATCTGCTGTTTAGGATTCATGGTTGTGATAGTGAGTAAGATTATACTTTAGTTAATCTATATAATAGTAATATATATCGCTCAACATATTTCTCACAGGATCTGAAAGAAAAAAGAACATTTTAAAATTATGCAGAATTATTATTATGTTAATTTGATCCCACTAAAAATATTTTTTACATAACATATAAAAAAATAAAATTCGTTTAATTAAATATTTTTAACGCAAGTTTCAAAGCGAATGAAATTATGTCTTGTGCTATTTAATATAACAATATTTTGAAAACAGTATTTTTTCAAAAGTGGCTGTAACTTTATACATATATTAAAAGCTTTAAAAATTAATTTTAATATTCCATTATGTAGTCTTTAGATAAAAATATGGAGAGTAAATCCGGAGTTTTTATACAATTTATGATGCCATATATCGCAGTAACTATAGAAGCTTTCGTCTTTTGCTTCGCCGGCGAGTATTTAAGCACCAAGGTTAGCATATTGCTTTTGCCTCTATCATATTAGACCAGGTGTAACTGGTGTGTTTGCATCTATCCAGGTGTATCCAGATTGCATCTATTTAGAATAATCTATAGCCTTTCTCTCTTTTCCAGAGTAGGTCCATTGGCGATGCGGCGTATGAGGCAGTTTGGTATGATTTATCTACCAGCGAATGCCGAATTTTATTATTCCTGATCCTGAGATCGCAAAAACGTTTGACGATCACGGCCGGGAAAGTTATGGATCTCACGTTGGAAAGTTTCACTACTGTAAGTTTGTTGCATGATATCGTACCATATTTTTTCAATAATATATCATGATTGTCGAACAATATTGCAAGAGACAATACTTAACATGATTTATAAGAAAATGTCTCGCGTTAATGATATTTAGACTTTGAAGAATTACTTCTCTTAGAGTACTTTTATCTTCATAACAACACACTTTTCTTAGGTCATGAAAGCTTCAGCTTCATACATTTCGGTTTTGCACGCGATGTACTGAAACTTCTACCAAAATGTATGCTGGTCATATATGTATATTATCGAATTATTGCGAATAGAGTAGTGATATATATTTGTAGAAAGACAAATTATAGATAAAGAGATAATTAATATTAATTTTGCATTTCTTCTTCAATTTTCAATAATCGTTGATCAACTTGTAATATCTTTATATTATGTTGCTTTTCTTTTTAATCAAACGCAAGTAAAATAGGAAATTATAAATCTCCTCAATAAATTTTACTGAGAAATATTATGTTGTGATCACAAATGAGATTTTATGAAACAGATATATTTTTCTATCGAGCACAAATTGTTGCAAATTTTTAGAAGAAGACCCAACAGAGTTATCAAAATTATTAATTAAAGTATCTATACATACTTTAATTAATAATATTAAAAATATACAATTACCCACAAACACATACGCACGCACACACAATGTATTTTTACTTACTATATATTTGCTTATAAGCTTTAGACTAAAAGGTATAACTCCTGTTTTCTCATCAATTTCTCTGCGCTGACAACGATATTTTTCTTCTTCGCTAATATGTGGAGCTAATATTTAACCAATTAATATGTCATTTTATCAATTGACCATTTTTCTCAACTCTAATTTTCAGATATATTTGTAATTGTCTTTTTTCCTATGTAGCGACGCATATCGGAAAGCTGCAATTGCATTTTTAAAGAAAATGAGATATTACTTTGCGTTTAGTTAGAATTTATGATTGATATTTTCCACGTGTGCACTTTTTTTCGAGCGCGAGGAAACCTGTAATCATCTGTCATCGCAACTTAGTTCGTCGTGCATATGACATTTTCGTGTCGCGCGATAGTTAATTACGATGTATAGTTTTGCTCTCTGTGAAATTACCAACTCCGCTTGAGGTAGTAGTATTAAGAAAAAAACGTTGCGCTCTTTTCTTTGTCATGTGAGGTTTTTTTCCGATTCAATTGAGATTGAGAGCGACAAGAGCGCACAGTTCGATAAATGCGTAAACCGTAATTATGTCGATGAGCACTATAAGTCTGTCGCTAAAGATCGGTCTTGATTTCATCGGCTTGTGGCCTGGCTCCTCATACGGGACGCTTCTCTGGCTCTTTTACATGGCTACTCTTGTCGCCATGCAGTACTTTCAATACTCGTACGTTCTCGCGCATCTGGACACGAACGATTTTTCCAAACTGATGGATGGTCTGAGCGTCACTCTAGATTACACTCTGACGTTTTTGAAGCTGCTGAGCCTCTGGTACAATCGACGGTAAGGGCCGCGATTGGCGTGTCGTGATCTATAGATCGTATTAGCGGAAACGAGTGAGATCGATTGCAGAATATTCTCGGATATCTTGGACGCGATGGAAGATGACTGGAACAATCGCACCACGGATTCGCACGTGTCCGTGATGACAAGCAAGGCTAATCTGGCGCATCGATGTTTTAAAGCTATGATGACCCTGAATAGTATGTCCGCTATCTTCTATTTTGTGGGCAGTTACTTGAGTCATCGCACGATCTCCGCCGACGGAGGGCCCCGGGAGTTTCCGGTACAAATGCAGTTTCCGTTCGGTCGTGCCACCGACTCGCCAATTTTCGAGCTCATCCTTCTAGGATGCTTCTTTCACGTATGGGAGACGGCGACTGTAATCGCGATGCTGAACTCTCTGATCCTGGCACTGGTAAATCAAAGAAAATGTAAAACTGCTTAAAATCATTAGATAATTATTTTCACGAAGTTCATTAAAACGTGTGTTGTTGTGTGATCTATCAATAGCATGTTTTTTAAATTTCGTGAGCTTTTCTTAAAACCTTAGTTCTTTTACTTTGAGGTACTTCACGTGAGCGGCCAGATCGATATTATGTGTCAGGGATTGAGAGAAATTTCCTCCACGAGAAAATCTCATCCATCGGCCACAAGATCGCTCATCAAAAGGCATCAAAAAATCATATCTCTATCCAACAATATCAACAACTTTTTTTCTTTCGTTGCACTGATACAATTTGTATGGAATACCATAGTTATCTGCACTATCGGAGTCATGATCGTAATAGTGAGTAAAGCTGCTTCGCTTATAGCGAGAAAGCAATCAGTTTTTTGAGAAACAATTTGCTTCCAAATTACGCGGCGATTATTTCATTAAATTAATTTACGTTGTTACTTTATTTATGATCGCCTCGAAACTACTCGGAACAAAAATAATAAAATGATTTTTACACGAAGTAATTCCGAGGAGAGAGAAATCTCATGTAATATTTATAGTAACAACACCATTTTAGAGAATAATGCATTATTTTGTTCTTTTGGTATTGAAATTATATTTCTGCAGTTTTAAATATATGTAGAATATTAAACCAATAATTAAAAACATAATTATATGCGCGAATTTTCTTGATTAATATAATTTAACGTACCATTATGCAGTCTCTAGGCACAGACATAGAAGGTAAATTCGGAATACTAATACAGTCCATTATTCCGTATGTCGCTGTAACGTTAGAAGCATTCGTTTTCTGTTTTGCTGGCGAATATCTGAGCTCTAAGGTTAGTACTATTCTCTTGCTTTTAACGGTTGCGAGTGTTATATATGTTCTCTGTAACACATAAATAAAAATATTTGTTAATTTTACGATATAATGCCAAAACTGTGTGGTTGCATGTTTCTTGTATTTAGCGCGATGTATCTATTGTCGTACAACATTTTGATCCGTAACTCCTTTTTCTTCTTCAGAGCAGATCTATTGGCGATGCGGCATATGAGGCAATTTGGTACGAATTGTCCACCAGCGAATGCCAGGTTTTACTGTTGATAATCGTCAGATCTCAAAAACGATTGAGTATCACAGCTGGAAAAGTCATGGATATGACTTTGGAAGGTTTTACGACTGTAAGATTTTTGTCAATTTTAAATATCAAATAATTAAAAAAATAATATAGAGATACATTTCATATAAATCCAATAATCATGAATATTGTAAAATGTACCCGCATATGTATATATCACATTAATAAGACATATATAGATGTTGAAACATTCTCTGACTGAAAATTTGTGTAAGAATAATTTTTTTAGGTCATGAAAGCTTCGATGTCGTACATTTCGGTATTACACGCTATGTATTGAAATTAAAAATAATTTACTCATGATAACGAATTTCTTTCGTCAATTAATCACATGTAAAGTATTGATAAAGCAATAAGAATTAATAAAATTAATAGATGGACGAATCTACTTCAGCCTTGAAATGTGGAACTAAAAATCAAAGTTTTAATCCAACAAAATACTTGTATCAATATTTATATGCAAAAAATTTATATAATTAAAAATTATCTGTTATTAAACGATTTTTTATATTAATAACATACAAAAATTAGTATTACATCATGACTATTGAGTCTTCATTGAAAGATCTGAACGTACCTAATTTGTACATCACATTTATTTTGTTGCGTGTGCTTGCTACTAAACTTCTCTAATTTGATCAAATGATTCAAACTTTCTATATTTAAAACTCTTTCCACATTGCATGTTCGGCATAATAAAGTTCCTTGGATTATTTAAGAAAAATACTCGCCGTTGCGCGAATCGAATTTAGACACAAAAATACAAAGTTCTTCTCTTACTTATCTTTAAAAAAAAAAAACTTGCTATAATTTAGTTTCGTTCGTTTAGAATATTTAATACAATCGTCCAATCAAACTGTCATTAAACAATCTTCGCGCAGAAAATGCGACGAACATTTGCTGTCGACATAAACGTATCGTACAATAAGACAGGAGAAATGATAAAAAACCTGACAATTTATTCGCAATATCTTTGCTTCTTCATATAAGGGTACTTGCACATTATTATTCACAATAGAATTATAGGATAAAGTATTATCATGCTGGTATAATGAGCTGTATTTCGACTTATTACGCGACGTATAATAGCGATTGATCCATATTTACTTGAGTGGGGATGCACCGTGTGGGGATGCACTTGGATAAAGCTTTCTCAGTTCTGTCTCATACTCGGACAAATGTATCGCCGATACTGATTTTTACTTCATCGCGTTCACAAAACTGTTGACGAATGATAGCGACAACTACCATCAGTCCGGCGCTGAAAATCGGCCTTCGGTGCCTTGGTGTATGGCCGGACATGCCACATTCTACCGTTTATTGTGTCATTGTTATGTCAAGTACTTTGATCGTACAATACTTTCAGTATCTGTACGTATTCTCGCACTTTAAGCTTAGCGAACTCTCAAATCTCGTGGATGGCTTATCTTCGACTTTAGAGAGCAGTTTGATGTTTATTAAGGTGGCTAGTCTTTGGAAACATCGTCGGTAAGATATCGCAGGAAGATTAATCTGAACTGTCTTTTAACCTGATCTTTTTTAAACGGAGTGTATGTGTGATTTATGGTATTTAGATGCCATCATTTAAATTTTAGTTTGTACATCAGTGTATATTTTTACGTAGAAGGGATAATGTCTCTGTGCTTTCTAATAAATATCAGAATTCAGATAAATATCTGATCGATTAATATACTTGCAGAGTTTTTCATCAACTTTTGGTCGCAATGGATAATGATTGGCGCGAGTGCAACCACGTTGATCAGTATTTAAATATAATGACACTTAAAGCCGGTATATCGCATTTTTGTTCCAATGCTATGCTGAACTTTAATACATTTGCTGGAGTGTTTTATCTTTTGGGTGATTACGCTATTCGTTTTGCATATCTAACAAAAGGTTACAATAATACTTTGCGGCAATTTCCTATCAAGGTACAATTTCCCTTTGAAACGGAGCAATCACCGATTTTCGAGTTGCTCGGTTTAGCTTTATTTCTACATGTGATGGTTGGTTCGTGCACGATCGCTATTGTAAATGGATTGATCTTTAGTTTGGTAAGTCTCGCACTTTAAATTATCGCATCTTTATTCTTTATGAAAACTGTGTAACAACAGGAGAACTTGCAATAAGAGCTTATTGTTAGATCCGAAAAAAATCGTCGTACAAAGTTTACTTTGCATAATTCATAAAGATTTTGTTATATATGAATTGCGGTATTGTACTATATATAATCTATATTCGAGACTATATGTCTCATCATTAGAAAAAATTTTATAACTAAATAATTGAATTTTATGTGCAAAATTATCACGTCTATTTTTTATACGTCACAAGCTTATATTTTTTTTTATAGGGAAAATGCCTCTTGTATATAAAAGTTATCTTAATACGAATCTTTGAAGAAATTTAGGTATATTATAGGTATTTCACGTAAGCGGTCAAATAGATATCATATGTCAAGGCTTCAAAACTGTTTCTGAGAATATTTATGTTGATGGATCTTCCGTAGTTACATTAGGATCGATAATCGAGAGACACAACAGAGTCGTTTTATTTTCTGAACAAATCGGAAAACTATTCTCCTTTATCATATTGATGCAAGTTTTTGCGAATACCTTAATTATTTGCTGCTTAGGATTCGTCATCACAATTGTGAGTTTGCCGTGGTTAATGATGTGATTATCGATATTATAAATCATTTATTTCTTTTTTTTATGTATTAAATAGTCAATTCATAATGAGACCGGTATCTTCGTGTTATTGAAAGCCATTTTGGCTTATTTTGCTATAATGATAGAGGCCTTTATCATTTGTTTAGCCGGAGAATACCTTAGCTTTAAGGTCAGTAAGTATTTAAAACTTATTATAATCGTAGATAAACAATTTTGTAACGTGACATATAATTTTAACGATGTTAATAATGCTAGAAAAAAATCCGTTTTTCAGATAAAGAAATCGTTTAAGTACAAAAAAATATTTTATCGTTTTTGACAAAAACTTTTTGCATTGTTTTTAGAGTAAATCTATCTCCGATGCAGCATACGAATCACTGTGGTACGACATGCCATCAAATCAAGGTAAGATTATATCATTCATGATACTGAGATCACAGAAGCGACTAGCGATCACAGCAGGGAAAATCATGAATCTATCCTTGGAAGCTTTTGCGAGCGTAAGTTTTTGAGGCTTGACATATGACCATTATAAAACTTTATTTTTTTTAGAATTAATTTTTCGCTTACAATTAATTTGTCTTTTACGTGTGCGCATATTTGCGTATCACATATATGTAATTTTTTATTTCTCTTTAGATCATGAAAGCATCGGCATCATACGTATCTGTTTTGCATGCAATGTATTGATATTAACAAATATTTTTTGAAATCATAGCGTGATTAATGTAAGATGATTAGTATGTAGAAACTGTTTTTACATATATATTATATATTTGTTATTATATATATATAATAATTTAATTATTAAGTAATAGTTCCTTAAAAATCTCTTTTTACTTTTAAAGTTGATTTAACTTGATTTTTTAAATGAACGCATTATCAAATGTAAAATTAAATTTAATACAAATGCATATAGTTGATGTTTTCCTTTTTGCTTTATTATTTTATATATATTAAAATACGTTTTTAACAAAAAAAGAAATGTATCTTTAGACTGCATCAAACATATATTTACCAGTGAATCCTTGTTGGGATGTTTGCCCATATGCAATTTGTGCTTGTATAATCTTGTTACATACATCTGTAACTATAAGCTTCTATGAAATGTCGAATTGATCCACATTTTCTTTTTACTTTTAAGTTTCCTTCCACATGCGTGTCCTGCAAAAGTTTTATTCCTTCAATGATCAAAGAAAATTATCCGCTTATTAAGCAATTGATTGTACAGTCGGAAAGATACAATCCTCCTCTCATTCAATATTACTTTTAAGACTTGTAATTGCACGCTCCGAACACAACTTAGGTCCGTTCGTTTAAAATATTTAACGAATAATTGCGATCGTTCCATGGAGCTACATTTATTTGTCTTCAAGATACAAAAAAAAAAATTCTATAGATGTTCGCTTTCTTGATGGCATCGCGCTATCAAAGATAAAAGCTGAGAAAAAAGTGACATATGGACAACCAACTATTCATCGCGCGATATCTTTGTGTTATTTTAATATCGAAATACACATTATTAGACTTACAGTTGAATTACGGGGTGTTTATACGGATAATGAGGGCGATCTTAACTTAAATTACGCAGAAACGTATGATAGCGATTGATCCGTATTTGCTTGAGTGGGGATGCATCGCGTGAGGGTGCACGTGGAAAGACGGACGATGCTGTCTCTCAGTTCACATTTACAAATGTGCCGACATTGATCTTTATCATTTTCTCGTGTCTTTAAAATTCTTGACGAATGATTGTCTCGAGTACCATCAGTCCGGGGCTGAAAATCGGTCTTCGATGTTTTGGTGTATGGCCCAACGTGCCATATTCCACCGTTAATTGGCTTCTTGTTATGTCGAGCATTCTGATTGTACAATACTTTCAATATCTGTACGTATTCTCGCACTTTAAGCTTAGCGAGCTTTCAAATCTTGTGGATGGCTTATCTTCGACTTTAGAGAGCAGTTTGATGTTTATTAAGATGGCTAGTCTTTGGAAGCATCGTCGGTAAGATATCGTAAAAAGATTAATCTTTCCATTTATTATGTGATGCAGTTTTCCAACGTGTATTGTTAATCTGACCTTTCTTAAGCGAAGCAAAATTTAATACCACCATTTCAATTTTAATTTGAACATCAATGTGCATAGTCATAGAAAGGATAATGTCTCCTCGTCTTTTGAAATATCTGATCGATTAAAATATTTGCAGCCTTCTTCATCAACTCTTGACTGCAATGAATAACGACTGGCGCGAGTGCAGCAACATCGATCAACATAAGAATATAATGACAATTAAAGCCGGTATATCGCACTTTTGTTTCAATGCTATGTTGAGTTTTAATACATTTGCTGCAATACTTTACCTCTTGGGGGATTACGTGATTCGTTTTGTGTATCTAACAAAAGATTACAATAACAGTTTGCTGCAATTTCCTGTCAAGGCACAATTTCCCTTTGAAACGGAGCAATCGCCAATCTTCGAGTTGCTTGTCTTAGCCTTATTTTTACATGTGATGTCAGATTCGTTCGCGATCGCTATTGTAAACGGATTGATTTTTAGTCTGGTAAGTCTCGCACTTGAAATTTGCGTATCTTTATTTTTTATCAAGATTGTGCAACGTGAGAGAATTTACGATGAGAACTTAGATCCTAAAAAAATCGTCGCGCAACTTTTACTTTTTAATACGATACTCTTAATACGATCTTTTTAAGAAAAAATATATTATAGGTGTTTCACGTGAGCGGTCAAATCGATATCATATGTCAAGGCTTCAAAAATATTTCTAAAAGTATTCATAGTGGATCTTCCGCTTCTACATTAGGAATGCTAATTGAGAGGCATAACAGAGTCATTTTGTTTTCCGAACAAATTGTAAAACTTTTCTCCTTTATCACGTTGATGCAAGTTGCTGCGAATACTTTAGTTATTTGCTGCGTAGGATTTGTCATCACAATTGTGAGTATTATCGTGGATTACGCAATGATTAATATTGCAATTTGTTTATTTCTTTTTTCTTTTTGAAATAGTCCTTTCATAATGAGACCGGTGTCTTCGTATTATTGAAAGCCATTTTAGCTTATGTTGCTATAACGATAGAGGCCTTTATCATTTGCTTAGCCGGAGAATACCTTAGCTTTAAGGTCAGTAAATATTTAAAATTTATTATAATTTTAGATACACATACACAATTTTTTAACGCAACGTATACTTTTAATGATGTTAATAACGCTTGAAAAAAATCCGCGTTTTTTAGATAAAGAAATCGTTTAAGCACAACAAAATATTTTATCGTTTTTGACAAGAAACTTTTTTGCATTGTTTTTAGAGTAAATCTGTCTCCAATGCAGCATACGAATCACTGTGGTACGACATGCCGTCAAATCAAGGTAAGATTATATCATTCATGATACTGAGATCACAGAAGCGATTAGTGATCACAGCAGGGAAAATCATGACTCTATCCTTGGAAACTTTCGCGAGTGTAAGTTTTTTGTCTTTGTTATATAATTAATAAAAATTTTATTTTTCGATTAATTTTTCCTTACAATTAATTTATGAGTTTTTTATATGCGCATATTTGTGTATTATATACTGTAATTTTTTAATTTTATCTTTTAGATTATAAAGGCATCGGCATCATATGTATCTGTCTTGCATGCAATGTATTAATATGAACAAGATTGCAACAATGATTTATTAAAGCCAGATTGTAATTAGCATAGGTTAATAATTTAGAAATTGTTATTAAGAAGATAAATATATAAATTGTTATTAATAAATTAATGATTTCTATTTATAAATTTCTTTACAATGATTTAATATAATTTTCGAAACTTGTGCAAAATTAAAAAAATATATTTAATACAAATGTATTTTTGCTTCGTTACTCTGTTGTATTAAAACATAATTTTATCGAGGAAAGAAATGTATCTTCATACTGCGATATCTACTACTGGATTCTCATTGGAAAATTTGTGCATATAAAATTTGTATATGTTTTGTTGAATATTCTTGCAACACACTAAATTTTGATGATGTGTTTAATCAATACAATTTTTTTCATTGTTGTGATTTTTCCGATTTGTGTTCTTTGCAATATTTTTTCTGTAAATTACTAAAAAAGATTGCTTACTATTATGCAAGTCTTTTTAAAATC